TCCCCACAAAGTTCAATGTTGGAAATTTAATCACTAATCTAACATATTGAGAGGTAGGACCTTTAAGAGATCATTAGGTCATGAAGGATCTGGCCCCTCATGAATGGATCAATGACAGCAGTGAGTTAGTTACCATGGGAGTGGATTCCTTGTAAATGGATTACTTTGGGGCAGGCATTTGGCATTGTGGTTAAGAAACCACACAGGAAGCCCTCATTCCACATTGGAGTTCCTGGGTTCCGCTCCTAGCTCTAATCCCAACTCCGCCTTCCTGCTAATGCACACCCTGGCTCAAGTGCTTAAGTCACTGCCAACCACATGGGAGACCTGGATTGAATTCCTGGTTTCCAGCTTCAGCCTGTCCTAATCCTAGCCTTGTGGGCATTTGTGAAATATACCAGTGGACAGGAGAGTTCTCTCTCATTGACTCTTTTATTCTCTCTGCGTGTGAATGTTTCATTCTCTCTTTCTCTGTGTAATTCAATAATAAGTAAATATTAAAAAATAAGGGCCTGTGCGGTGGCGCAGTAGGTTAATCCCCGACCTGCGGCGCTGGCATCCCATATGGGCACCGGTTCTAGTCCCGGCTGCTCCTCTCCCAATCCAGCTCTCTGCTATGGCCAGGGAAAGCAGTAGAAGATGGCCCAAGTCCTTGGGCCCCTGCACCCTTGTAGGAGACTGGAAGAAGCTCCTAGCTCCTGGCTCCTAGCTTTGGATCTACGCAGCTCCGGCCATTGCGGCTATTTGGGGAGTGAACCAACGGACAGAAGATCTTGTTCTCTGTCTCTCCCTCTCACTGTCTATAACACTACCTCTCAAATAAATAATAAAAAATCTTTTAAAAAATAAATAAAAAGATGAGTTTGGCTGTCTTCCTTCTTGTAGATGCATTTGTGGTTCTTGCCTCTCCACCCTCTGCCATAGAATGATGTATTAAGAGGTCCCTCACCACATGTTGACACTCTGACACTGGACTTCCCAGCCTCCAGGACCATGAGAAACAAGTATCTCTTGTTTTTGAATTATCCAGTTTATGAAACACAGTTACCACAGCATATAGCAGACACCACTTCAGATGTTTGGAATGCAAACATACAAGTAGTCCTTGGATGTTAGCACAAACTTGATACAAAAAATTTCAATGATAGTATGAGAGATAAGGTTCCAAGACAGTCTCAAGACTATAGACCTAAACATCATAAATTTAAAATTAAGAATTAGAGTACAGCACTATATTACATATAAATAAACACAACAGGTTTATCTCAGTAACAGAAGGCCAGATTAACATGAGAATAGTGAATAATATAATCCAGGAGTTAGCAAACTTCAGATAGAAAATACTTCAGGTTTTGTGTGCCATATGCAACCTGTGTCACATAGTCTTGTTTAGTTATGTTTGCCTGTTTGGCTTTATAATCCCTTAAACATTCAGAAACCATTCATAACTCATAGGCCATAATGCAGACCAGTTTGCCAACACAAGTCATAGGTGGAGTATTTTTATCTAAAAGGCTTGGGACAAGAAGTGCTACAGATTTTAAAGAGTTTTTCAGAGTTTGGAATATTTCACAAATTTTATCAACTGGGCATTTCTCTTCTAAAAATCTCAATCCGTAATGTTCTAAAACTTGAAAAATTTAAAGTGTAATTTAGGCAGTCAAGAATTGGATTTTAGATAATTACAGGTTTTAGATTTACAGTTATGCATGTCCAATCTTTACAATTCAAAACCATATCATTATCTCAATAAATACATAAAATGTGTCTGATAATATCCAATATCTATTCATGCTTTTTTTAAGTTATGCATACTCTAAGAACATAACTCCCTTAACCTGACAAAGATTATCAACTAAAAACTTATGGCAAATTTCCCTTCTTAATGGAGTCGCAGAAAGATTTTCTTTAACATTGGGAACAAGAAAAGTATGCCTATAACTACTTCTACTAGGAAAACTATAACTACTATACTTCAACTAGGAAAAAAATACTAATGATATAACATTTAGATGGGATAAACAACACTCTCACTATAGAACAAATGATATGATTGTTTATGCAGAAAAACTCAGAAAGTACAAATAATTGGATTGACAAGAGAGTTTAGATGTTTATAAGATTTATTTTATTTTATTTTTTTATTTTTTTATTTTTTATTTTTTTGACAGGCAGAGTGGACAGTGAGAGAGAGAGAGAGACAGAGAGAAAGGTCTTCCTTTGCCGTTGGTTCACCCTCCAATGGCCGCCGCGGCCGGCGTGCTGCGGCCGGCGCACCGCGCTGATCCGATGGCAGGAGGAGCCAGGAGCCAGGTGCTTTTCCTGGTCTCCCATGGGGTGCAGGGCCCAAGCACCTGGGCCATCCTCCACTGCACTCCCTGGCCACAGCAGAGAGCTGGCCTGGAAGAGGGGCAACCAGGACAGAATCCGGCGCCCCAACAGGGACTAGAACCCGGTGTGCCGGCGCCACTAGGCGGAGGATTAGCCTAGTGAGCCGCGGCGCCGGCCCAGATGTTTATAAGATTAATATATCTGTCTATCCAAGTGTCAGTTACTTGGTTGATTTTACTCTTTAGGAGCTCCCAAAGGAACTATACTAAGCAAGCCTTCTTCCATAGAGAATCCTGCGTTAACTTCTGCCAAGAGCAATGGGATACTAGCAACATGAGATTATCCCTTTTAGGTGACTCAGCAATTCCTTAACGTGAAAATCTCAAATTCAAGCTCCACCCAGTGATGGAACCCAACATTTAGTCTCCTGCTGCTAGCACTGTTATTGCTACTTGCCTCCAGGACAAACCCAGCATCTGTTCACCATGGAGCTGGTTGACATTGCTGCTTGTTAGATTTTTGTCCTCGGAGATTTTTCTGATACAAAAAGTACCTTATTCAAGGTCTTGCTATATTTTACAGAAAGATATTCTAGACCAAAGTGTGATTTATAAAAACTATTACATACAAAATAAAGATTGGAAACAATCTTTTCAGATGATACATCATAGGTAACTTGTTTTCTCTTCTGTATTTCCACATCATCTATTTATAATCTTAGTTCATTTTTATAACAAAGAAATAATATATTTAATTTTTAAAAAGAAGTTATGTACAGGACATGGTTCAAAAGCTTTTTAAAAGTATTTCTGGGCCGGTGCCGTGACTCACTAGGCTAATCCTCCGCCTAGCGGCGCTGGCACACCGGGTTCTAGTCCCAGTCGGGGCGCCGGATTCTGTCCCGGTTGCCCCTCTTCTAGGCCAGCTCTCTACTGTGGCCCAGGAGTGCAGTGGAGGATGGCCCAGGTGCTTGGGTCCTGCACCCCATGGGAGACCAGGAGATGCACATGGCTCCTGCCATCGGATCAGCGCGGTGCGCTGGCCGCAGCACGCCGGCCGCGGCAGCCATTGGAGGGTGAGCCAACGGCAAAGGAAGACCTTTCTCTCTGTCTCTCTCTCTCACTGTCCACTCTGCCTGTCAAAAAAAAAAAAAAAAAGTATTTCTGAAAACAGAAAAGAATATTTATCAAGCATATACCTGCTTTTTAAATAGTACCTGAATTCATTCTCATAGAAATCCTCTAACAAATATCATTATCCTTATTTTTGCAGGATATTGAGGCCCAGAAAGGTTGAGTAATTTGTCCAAGTGGTGGAAATGGGATTTACATTCAGGAATACTTATTCCAAGGCCAGTGCTTTTTCTACATAACTATGCTGACTCCCACAAGAGAGCATTTTCACATTATCACCTGCCAGTTCTAATTAAGAGATAGTAATTAAACAATTCTCTACTCTTGACAACAATATTTAAGCTACTAGCACTTTAAAGAAATTAATATGAACAGCTCTTTATCTAACGGAAGATACTATATCTAAACACAAATTACATACTATTACAGAAAAAAGTCTCCAATGTGACACAGTTATGATGCTTTTACAAAAAAGGATTAATTACATTATTTATTAGAGGATAAACATAAAAATTTTGTTTACTGACCAATATGTTTATAAACATGTTCAATTTGCTTAACAGAGAAGCACAAATTACAGTAACAATGATATATCTATTAAATTGGCAAAAAAATTTAAAATAGGAATAACCAAGTTAGACAAAAAGTAAAATTATCATCCATGTTAGGAGATAATGTAATTGGTAAAAATTTGCTGAAGAACAAATGAAATGATACATGCACATGAAAAACATATTTGGCTTTTAACCTAATAATTCATCTTCTGGGAATTTATCCTAATGAAAAAATCTCAGGTATTTATATAAAGATTTAGCTATACGAGTATTATATTAGTTCATTTTCCACTACTATAGCAAATCATTTGATGTTGGGTAACTTTATAAGGAAAAGAGGTTTCTTATCTCACAATTCTGAAAATTCAAGGGCATTGCACCAACATTGGGTGGCTCTTATAAGGACTTCATGCTGAATGGCAATGTATGGGATAAGTCAATGCATCCCAAGACAGGAAACCAGAGAGCAATTCAAGAGTCAGTGTTGCTCTTATACTAACTTCTCTTTTCCCTTCCAAACACCATTGTCAGGAATATGTAACAGGTAGAACACAAGTGTTTCTACCCAAACTTTCCTTCCCTCTAAACATGCACTTACATAAGAATGATAGAACCAGACGCAAAACCTTCCAGAACCCAGAAGATACATGGAGTTTTCCAAAGTCCAAACAGCACAAAACAAGAAAAGGAAAAGAACTAAAGAGATGAAGCAAAAAATAGAAAACCAAAATAAATTATGACTGGAAAAATCTCCACTTTGTTCTCAACCAATGAGTAAAGTCTACTTTTAGATATTCAATACATGAGAACACATTCTTGTAAGTTAGGTCTCAGAGCCATGTTTCATTCCACCCAAATAAGCTCCCATAGAATAAAATTTTACATTTTGGGATCTACTCCTGATTCAGCAGACATCATGAATTTCTCCAAGAGTCACACAAAATAGAAGAAACAAGTCATTACACAAGAGGTGTTCTCCTACCTTAACAGCTTCTCCAAGAGTTTGGTTTTTGTCAGCTTCCTCACTGGAGTGCAATTCCAGTCTATAATTCAACTCCTGTAATTGTTGTGCCTGTTCATTCAATAGCATTTGTGCCTGTTGTTCCCGAAGTAATGCATTATTGAGTTCTTCACATGCACTTTCAAACTTCTCATGGGTGATCAGTTTCTTTAAAAAGGGATGGGTGGGGGCAATCAGTTATAAACTAACTCATTTGATCTTTTTTTATTCAGAACTATACCTGTTAACATTAGCAATACCATACAAACATTTCTAAGTGCCTGATACATGAAAAAAACCAATTTTTCCTCATTTTGCAAGATAAAAATAACACTCAGAGTTTTAAAATACAAAAGGCATACTTTAGGCCGGCGCCGCAGCTCACTAGGCTAATCCTCCGCCTTGCAGTGCCGGCACACCAGGTTCTAGTTCTGGTCGGGGCGCCGGATTCTGTCCTGGTTGCCCCTCTTCCAGGCCAGCTCTCTGCTATGGCCCAGGAGTGCAGTGGAGGATGGCCGAAGTGCTTGGGACCTGCACCCCATGGGAGACCAGGAAAAGCACCTGGCTCCTGCCATCGGATCAGTGCAGTGCGCCGGCCACAGCGCACCAACCGCGGCGGCCATTGGAGGGTGAACCAAGGGCAAAAGGAAGACCTTTCTCTCTGTCTCTCTCTCTCACTGTCCACTCTGCCTGTCAAAAAAAAAAAAAAAGGCATACTTTCAAAGTTACTATTTTTAGGTAAATAAAAATCTCACAAAACTTATTCCAAATTCTATAATAAATTCATAATGCTTAGTTCCAATCTTCATACATGAAAACTTTTATAAAAAATATGATCTGGGAATTAAAACCTTTAACAACTTCCTAGACTTTTCATTGACTACCTAAAGGTCTGTATCCAATGGATGTTGTCAGGTCTCCCTAATGAAACACCCGCTCTAGATCATACCTACCTCCCCTACTCCCATTCCCACTATACAATCTTGTTTTATTTTCTTCTTATTATCATTATCTAAAGTCACCTCACTTTTTTAACTGTCTGTCCACACTCTGCCTCCACACATGTAGTTCCACTGAGCAGCGAACCCAGTACTGGCACTCAGTAGGTACTCAATAGTTACTTGTTGAATGAAAGAACATTCATAAGTAAACATCTGCCAATAAAACTGTATCCCATAATGCACAACACAATTTTTATCTCATATCTCTCTCTGTCTTTCACACAAATAGATAGAAAAATCTTTTTAAAAAGAGAGAACATAAGAGATAAAATATATATTTTTTTGGATTTAGACATTTGCAGAAAAGGAAACTGTAACTGAAGAATCAGGATTACTTGACCTGCCTAACCCAGAAGAAATCTTTGCCCTTTGAAGGTTTATCTACTTGAAATAATAATTAACTTTAATAATTTATATTATCATAGGATTAATTACTAAGCCAAGATATCAAATCAACCTAGGTGTCTATCAAAAATTAATGAATAAAGAAAATATGGTATGTACCCATAATGGAATACTATTTGGCTTTAAAAAAAAAAGTGAGATCCTCTCATTTGTGAAAATATGGATGAATCTGGAGAATATTATGTTAAGCAAAGCAAACCAGGCACAGGAAGATAAGTAACACAAAATTTTAAAAAGAAGAGAAGTCAGAATGAAATACTAGAAATGAAAACTTCAAAAGATTAAATTAAAAATGCAATAGAAAGCTTAACAACAGAATACATGAGACAAAAGAAGCAATATCATAACTAAAAGACAAATTTCTGGAAATATTACAGTTGGGACAAAAAAAGAAGAAAAAATTACAAACTAAAAAACATGGTTAGAGTTTTTTTTTCAACTTTTATTTATTAAATATAAATTTCCAAAGCACAACTTTTGAATTAAAGCAGCTTTTCCCCCCATAACCTCCCTCCCGCCCGCAACCATCCCATCTCTCACTCCCTCTCCTACCCCATTCTTCATCAGGATTCATTTTCAATAATCTTTAGATACAGAAGATCAATTTAGTATATACTAAGTAAAGATTTCAACAGACTGCACCGTCAGACACACAAAGTATAACGTACTGTTCGAATACTAGTTATCCATTAATTCACATAGTATAACACATTAAGGACAGAGGTCCTACATGGGAAGCAGGTGCACAGTGACTCCCGTTGTTGACTTAACAATTGACACTCTTATTTATGACGTCAATGATAACCCTAGGCTCTTGTCATGAGCTGCCAAGGCTATGGAAGCCTCTTGAGTTCACCAACTCCAATCTTATTTAGACAAGGCCATAGTCAAAGTGGAAGTTCTCTCCTCCCTTCAGAAAAAGTTACCTCCTTCTTTGATGGCCCGTTCTTTCCACTGGGAACTTGGGAACTCACAGAGATCTTTAATTTAGTGTGTGTGTGTGTGTGTGTGTTTTTTTTGTTTTTTTTTTTTTGTTTTTGCCAGAGTGTCTTGGCTTTCCATGCCTGTGAGACTCTCATGGGCCTTTTAGTCAGATCCCAATGCCTTAAGGGCTGATTCTGAGGCCAGAGTGCTGTTTAGAGCATTTGCCATTCTATGAGTCCGCTGTGTATCCCACCTCCCATGTTGGATCATTCTCTTCTTTTATTTCTATCAATTAATATTTTCAGAAACTGGTCTTATTTATGCAATCCCTTTGACACTTAATCCTATCTTTTTGTTGAATTATGAACTTAAACTGATCACTCTGACTAGTGAGATGGCATGGGTACATGCCACCTTGATGGGATTGAATTGGAATCCCCTGGAACGTTTCTGGCTCTAGCATTAGGGGTAAGTCTGAGTGAGCATGTCCCAAATTGTACATCTCCTCCCTCTCTTATTCCCACTCCTATATTTAACAGGGATCACTTTTCAGTTAAATTTAACCACCTAAGAATAATTGTGTGTCAAGTAAGAGTTCAACCAATGGTATTAAGTAGAAAAAGAAAATACTAAAAGGAATAAAATAGTAAGTTGTTCCTCAACAGTCAGGACAAGGGCTGATCAAGACATTGTTTCCATAATGTCCATTTCACTTATACAGGTTTCCTTTTAGGTGTTCAGTTAGTTGTCACCGATCAAGGAGAACACATGATATTTGTCCATTTGGGACTGGCTTATTTCACTCAGCATGATGTTTTCCAGATACCTCCATTTTGTTGCAAATGACCGGGTTTCATTGTTTTTGACTGCTGTATAGTATTCTATAGAGTACATGTCCCATAATTTCTTTATCCAGTCTTCTGTTGATGGGCATTTAGGTTGATTCCATGTCTTAGCTATTGTGAATTGAGCTGCAATAAACATTAAGGTGCAGACAGCTTTTTATTTGCCAATTTAATTTCCTTTGGGTAAATTCCAAGGAGTGGGATGGCTGGGTTGTATGGTAGGGCTATATTCAGGTTTCTGAGGAATCTCCAAACTGACTCCCATAGTGGCTTTACCAGTTTGCATTCCCACCAAGAGTGGATTAGTGTCCCTTTTTCCACACATCCTCACCAGCATCTGTTGTTTGTTGATCTGTATGTAAGCCATTCTAATGGTTAGAGATTTAAAAGATATTATCAAATAACTCAACATAAGGATCCTAGGAGTTCCAGAAAGCACAGAAAGAGGAAAGGATTAGAAGGCCTTCTTAATGAAATAATAACAGAAAACTTTCCCAATCTGGAGAAGGACATCCAAGTAGAGGAAATACACAGAACTCCCAATAGACACGACCAGAAAGACCTTCATCACAACACATTGTAGTAAAACTCCAGAGTAAAACATAAACAAAAGATCTTAAAAGGTGCACAAGAAAAACACCAAATTACATTCAGAGGAAACCCAATTAGACTCGCAAACTTCTCATCAGAAACTCTACAGGCAAGCAGAGAATCGTGAGATATATTCCAAATCCTAAGAGAAAAAAAACTATCAACACCATCAAATTATTAGAGAACATCGGAGAAACCCTGCAAGATATTGGCAAAGGCAAAAACTTCTTGGAAAAGACCCCAGAGGCACAAGCAGCCAAAGCCAGAATTAAAAACTGGGATTACATCAAATTGAGAAGTTTCTGTACTGCAGAAGAAAACAGTCAGGAAAGTGAAGAGGCAACCAACAGAATGGGTGAAAATATTTGCGAATTATGTAACTGATAAGGGATTAATAATCAGAATCTATAAAGAGATCAAGAAACTCCACCACAACAAAACAAACAACCCATTAAGAGATGGCCCAAGGACCTAAACAGACATTTTTCAAAAGAGGAAATCCAAAAGGCCAACAGACACATGAAAAAACTGTTCAGGATAACTAGCAGTCAGGGTAATGAAAATAAAAACTACAATGAGGTTTCACCTCACTCTGGTTAGAATGGCTTACATACAGAAATCAACTAACAACAAACAGATGCTGGCAAGGATGTGGGGGAAAAAGGACACTAATCCACTGTTGGTGGGAATGCACACTGGTAAAGCCACTATATAGAAAACAGATTGGAGATACCTCAGAAATCTGAATATAGCCCTACCATAGGACCCAGCCATCCCACGCCTTGGAATTTACCCAAAGGAAATTAAATTGGCAAACAAAAAACCTGTCTGCACCTCAATGTTTACTGCAGCTCAATTCACAATAACTGATATGGAATCTACCTAAATGCCCATCAACAGAAGACTGGATAAAGAAATTATGGGACATGTATTCCATGGAATACTACACAGCTGTAAAATAAATGAAATCCAGTCATTTGCAACAAAATGGAGAAATCTGGAAAACATCATGCTGAGTGAAATAAGCCAGTCCCAAATGGACAAATATCATGTGTTCTCCTTGATCGGTGACAACTAACTGAACAACTAAAAGGAAACCTGTAGAAGTGAAACTGATACTGTGAGAAGCAATGTCTTGATCAGCCCTTGTCCTGATTGTTAAGGAACTACTTACTATTTTATTCTTTTTAGTATTTTCTTTTTTACTTAATACCATTGGTTGAACTCTTTACTTAACACACAATTATTCTTAGGTGTTTAAATCTAATTGAAAATTGATCCCTGTTAAAAAAAAAATAAGAGTGGGAATAAGAGAGGGAGGAGATGTACAGTTCAGCACACATTTCCTTGGACTTACTCCTAAGGGTAAAGCTAAAAAGTTGCCATGGGACTCCAAATCACATTAAGCTGGCAGGCACCAATGCCATCTTACTACTTAAAGTGATCAGTTTAACTTCATAACAGATCATAAAGATAGGATTAAATGTCAAAGGGATTACATAAATAAACCAAGTATCTACTAATAATACTAGATAAAATTAAAAAGGAGAGAATGATCCAACATGGGAAGCAGGCCACACAGCAGACTCATAGAATGACAAAGCCCTAAACAGCACTCTGGCCTCAGAATCAGCCCTTAAGCCATTTGGATCTGGCTAAAAAGCCCATGAGAGTATTTCAGGAATGGAAAGCCAAGGCACTATGGCAAAAAATAACCTACATGAAAGATCTCTGTGAGTGAGATCCCAGTGGAAAAAATGGGCCATCAAAGAAGGAGGTACCTTTCTCTGAAGGGAGGAGAGAACTTCCACTTTGATTATGTCCTTGTCTTAATAATGTCATGAGTTTGTGGACTCAGGAGGCTTCCATAGCCTTGAAAGCTCATGACAAGAGCCTAGGGTGATCACTGACGTCATAAATAAAGAGTGTCAATTGTTAAATCAACAACAGGATTCACGGTGCTCTTGCTCCTCATGTAGGACCTCCTAATGTGTTGTATTATGAGAATTAACAGTAAAACTAGTCTTCAAACAGTAATTTATACTCTGTGTGTCTGTGTGGGTGCAAACTGTTGAAATTTTTACTTAGTATAGAGTTGATCTTCTGTATATAAAGATAATTAAAAATGAGTCTTAATGAAGAATGGGATGGGAGAGGGAGTAAGAAGTGGATGGTTTGGGGGTGGGAGTCGGGTATCAGGGGAAGAACCATTATAATCAAAAAGTTGTACTTATGAAATTTATATTTATTAAATAAAAGCTTTCCATAAAGCAATAAAATATTTTAGTGTAAAAAAATAACCCAGCTACAACTAGATTATATAGGTAACTACATTCAATTATGCTTCATATATTTACACATCTTGATCTTGATCTAATGTCATTTGGCCTATAGATTTTCAGCTAATTTTTTTTTCAAAGATTTTATTTATTTATTGGAGAGGTAGAGTTAAAGACAGTGAGAGGGAGAGACAGAGAGAAAGATCTTCCTTCTCTGGTTCACTCCCCAAATGGCCGCAACAGCCGGAGCTGCACTGATCTGAAGCCGAGAGCCAGGAGCTTCTTCCCGGTCTCCCATGTGGGTGCAGGGGCCTAAGCATTTGGGCCATCTTCTACTGCTTGCCCAGGCCATAGCAGAGAGATGGACTGGAAGAGGAGCAGCCGGGATTAGAATCAGCACCCATAGGGGATGCTGGCACTGCAGGCAGAGGATTAACCTACTACGCCACAAAGCACCAGCCCCATATAATACTCTTTAAAATAATACACCTAAATCTTTGGTTAAAATTGGGCTAGTTGAGCATTTCTTTAGAAAAGCAACGTAATTTTAAACTAAATAATTTATTCAAAATGTTCAGTATAAAAGAGAGGAAACACTATCCCCATTCTCCCACATACACATACACCAAAACATAAGTCTCCTCAACTGAAGACATTGTAGAAGAGAAGTTTTCGGAAGAAAAGAAATCCTATTAATAAGATTCTGAATTGTGCTTAAAATCCAAGCACAATAAAAACTGAGAAACAGAGACGCTCACCAAAGCTGTAGATACTCACAGACTGCTGAGATTCATTCAATTGCATTTGGAGACCCTGGGCTTTATCGAGCTCCTTTTTCATTTCATTCACATTGCGTCTGAATTCTGTAACTTCCAGGCGCAAAGAACGACGCTCCACTTCTGCTGCATGCAGTCTTTGTGTAAATCCAAATATCTGCTTCTGTAATGATGCTGTGCTTTTCTATCATTAAACAAGAGCAATTTTATAAGGAGTAACTACAGATGTACTAATAAGTCAATAGCAACTTACTAAACTAAAAGTAACTATCAGACAAAAAAAATAGCAGCAAGTACTGAAACTTTGAGATGAAAGCTTTATTTTTTATGTGACCAATAATTTGGCTTGTAGCAAATGAACACTTGAAGAAAAGATATAATCAAGATGACTAGAAAATTGAGTTAACAGTTGTTATGCCTCATATAATTTTGTTGCAGTGTGCTTATGAAGAATTTAGAACTGATGCCAGGGCTTCTGTATTTTGATATTTTGACATTTTCAGAAGTGCTTTTATTTATCATATTAAGTTTCAAGAAAATGTAGATATATTCACATACAACTACTTTAAATCACAACTAAGTCAGATTCAATATTAAATCCAAGTCCTAAGGCCACTATTAAATGAAGCTGTGTACATACCATAATGGGCACATGGCCACGCAAACCATATTTCAGGGCCAGTGTGTTTACTTTATGAAGTCCACGTGCCAGCCTTTGAACCAGGGAATCTTTGTCCACATACGTGATACTCCTGCTATTGTGCAGAGGTATACTCTCCATTGCCAGACTAATTTTATCCATTAGTTTAGCAAAAGAATTTTTGGCTGCACCTACAAGCAAATGTCCACAAATTCTGGAATTTGGATCTTTAAAGAAAAAGAAAAAAAAGGCAGAAAAAATGTGAATTGTGTCTTATTCATTTCACAACACTGCTGATATCTACATAATAAACACTTTTTTTCAATTATGTATTTCCTACTCAACCGTAGTAATTCATTCAAAAAGTCCACTCACATATTTTCACTATGACAAAAATGTAGTTAATAGCTCACCTACTAAACCACACATCTGAAGAATCTGCATGTATCTATAGGATGCCAGGCACACAGAACACTATGATATTAAAAATTATTCTTTTCTTTGTTTTAAAACCTAACATAAATCCATATTCTATTTACAACTACTGAAGCTTGTTACTTTAATACCATACCATTTATATTCTCAGACAAGAAAATATAATTTGCCTTATTCTGAGGCAATTAAAATTTTATAACTACAATTACTTTTTTCCCATAGGATTTTCATAATCATCCCTCTCATATAATGGACTTACGGTTCCAGCATATTCAACACGGCCTGCTTACTACGAGATTCATCAGGTCTGTAATTAATAATTGTGTTTAATGTTGATAAATAAAATTGTCAGCCCTCTTTCTACTAATTGGTGTTCTAGATAATGGCTAATAGGTTTATTTATGCCTTCATAAAAGTCATGTAATTTAGTTTTCCCACTGCCAGGCAGGTCTTAATCTGTCATTACTTGTCTTATGATACTATCTGTATAAAATGACAAGCATGAAGGGATTATTTAAATTCAGTAGTATACCACTCTACATTTCAAGAGCCTGTGCTGTTGCAGTTCATTTAAATTTTGTCTCTGGATCAGAAGCACAAAAAGTAAATTTAGCTCATTTTACCCCACAAAAATGTCTTATAAAGTAAATGTATGATTCAATAGGGAAGAGCAATGCTGAGAAGATGATCAAGCAGTAGTTTTTTGTCACAAAACATTTTCACAAGACCTTGTATGCTAACATTTGGGCTTTATTCTATTTGTTTTACTCCTCAATCTATAAAAGGAAAATATAAATTATAAATTTATTCAACAGAAAGAATTTGAAAACCTCATTGCTTAATAATTACACATAAATAAAATAGAAATTAATTGTGTAAAAGCATATCCTGTATGTAAAATTTATTTCTATCAGTTATTGATGTACTGATTTCTCAAATACATAAGGTAAGTAAGTTTAATTCTAAATGCCAACCATTATAAACATACTGAGAATCCTCAGGAAAAAAGACACACAAAGCATACTTAAAATACAAAGTCCTTTGTGAACAATCATATTCATCAAATAAATAATGAATGAGGAAGAATTTAGTAGTTTTTTTAATATCCATCAGCATAAAATACAGAACATCAACTTACAGGAATTATTAAACTATTTTCATATAATTAAATAGGTTACTTATGCATGAATGGACAAACAGTGAAATTCATTTTTTCTGAGTATTCAATATAAAATATTATTTCAATACCAAATATATGTATTCCCTACTTCTCCAACCACCCTGCAGTTCTTTAACTGTGTTGTTTTTCCATCTTAATAAACTACCCTATTGTGCCAGTCTACCATATGTGGGTATTTTTATATGTTTATAATATTAATTCTATTTCTTTTACTTCCATCATAATTGCAATAATACTGAACACAAGAATGTATTTAATAATACCGAGATAAATTAATTAATATTAACTTTTATGGTATGTTGAAAGTTTTCGTTAACAAACATAAAAGCTCACTACACAAAAGTAGTGATTATATAGATAATCAGCTTTTCAAAGTAAAAATCAACTACAATTTAATTTTAATGAGTAGTGTTTTCTTACTGTATCACAGAAATTGGTTTATGTAGATACTGACCACTCTGTAGGGAAAATTAAATGACAATATAGTTACATAAGGTATTCTTTTGAATTTTTAAGCGACAAAGAGATATACACTCTAAGTTGCTGAATCTCAATAAATTTACAATAAAAGCATTAAATAACTATGCTTCAGTAAGAAATGTTTTATAATATACGTCACATTGTACTATATGAAGTACAATTGAGTCTATATTAAATAAATGAAAAAATTCTTTAGTGGCATAGTTGTAAAATTATTTGTATAATAATACAGAAATAAGAGAAAAATGTCACTAAAAGTCTTCACTTCAATTTGTCTATCCTGTTTTAAAATTTTGCCTTCTAGGGCCAGTGTTGTGGCATTGTGGGTAAAGAAAGTGCCACCTGTGATGCTGACATTTCACATGGGCATCAGTTCATGTCCTGGCTGCTCCACTTCCAGATCCAGCTCCCTGCTAATGGCCTGAGAAAAGCAACAGAGGATAGCCCAAGTGCTTGGGCCCCTCCCACCCACATGGGAAACCCGGATGGAGCTCCTGGCTCCTAGCTTCAGCCTAGACCAGCACTGACCATTGTGGATATGTGGGAAGTGAACCAGTGGATGGAAGCTCGCTTTCTCTCTCACTCTCTCTCTTTTCCTCTCTCTCTCTTTTTCTCTTTCTCTCTGTAACTTTGACTTTCAAAATAAACAAATAAATAAATCGTTTAAAAAATGTTTTGACTTCTTACATTTAACAAATTCACATTTATGTTAAATACATTTGTTTATCACTTTCCCCATATTTAAGAACACCCATATTTCATGATAAAAGACCCTGGTCTGAAAGTACTTTTTCCAACAGAATTGCATATCTATGATTAAAATCCTCAAGACAAATTCATAAAGAATTGTTTCAACCACTAGTTCTAAACCTGTGGATTACAGATCTCAAGGAAAGAGGGTAGGGTGGGAGGTTTTGAAAGATAATTGCCAAAGTTCCATCACTCTAACTGCAGTAACCATTGCCATGTTGATCTTTATTTAGCCCTAATAAAATATACACATTAATAATATATCCTCATGATGTTATTAGTAATAAAATTAAAAGTCTTGAAAATGTTATAGAAGTATTACTAAAAATACAACTATGATAAAGAGAGCAGCCTACAATATCTACAATATCTTCTCTCACTAAAATGAGAGTTTTAGTACTCAGAAAGACTAAGAAACACTTCTTTAATCAAAAAAGGTAGTAGTGACTAATGTTAATAATTCTAGTAGTAAGTATAATAATATTAAAAAGCCGGCGCCACGGCTCACTAGGCTAATCCTCCACCTTGCGGCGCTGGCACACCAGGTTCTAGTCCCGGTCGGGGCGCCAGATTCTGTCCCGGTTGCCCCTCTTCCAGGCCAGCTCTCTGCTGTGGCCAGGGAGTGCAATGGAGGATGGCCCAAGTGCTTGGGCCCTGCACCCCATGGGAGACCAGGAGAAGCACCTGGCTCCTGCCTTTGGATCAGCGCAGTGCGCCGGCCGCATCGCACTGGCCGCGGCGGCCATTGGAGGATGAACCAACAGCAAAGGAAGACCTTTTTCTCTGTCTCTCTCACTCACTGTCTACTCTGCCTGTCAAAAAATAAAATAATAATAATAATATTAAAATACAGAACAACATAACAACAAGTGATGTTAGTAATAACAGTACTATTAGGGAATACTGATAAGTATACTAAATTCCAATTCAGTTCTACACACTTGATACATCCTATCATCCCTGACATCTCCATTTCCTTGGCCATCTTGCCCACATCCTGTCCTTAACATTTCCCCGGCCTACTCCATTGTTTTTTTCTGGCTCATGACCATATCTCACCTACATCATTACAAGCCTTCCTGCTCTTGTCCAGACTTTCCCCCTCTTCAATCCATCTTCCACATGGTAGACAGAATGACTTCTAACACAAATTACATCTTGTCACATCCCTGGCTTTCAAGCCTCAATAGCTCTCCACATCTAAGGGTACATTTCAAACTCCTTAAAATGTAGTTCTAAAGGCCTATAGGTCTAGTCCCCGCTTGGTTTCCCAGGAACATCCTTCTCTGTTATCTCTTATTTATATGCAACTCCTTTCAAGTGATCCCAACACATCACAATCTTAAAGCATTCCCTCTGAGCACAAATTATACTTATGTTTCCAAATTGCTAATAATTTGAGAAATATTAATGTGGGCTTCAGTTTTCAAACTTGGGACCCAATCATTGCAGTAAGATGTTTGCTTTGAAGCAATATTCTAACTAAGAACACTACGGGGCCAACCTTCTGGCCTAGTACTTCAGATACCTACATCCCAGATCAGAGTGCCTGGGTTCAAGTTCAAGTCCTAGCTCTATTCCTGACTGAAGCTTCATGTTAGTATATTTCCTGGGAGGCAGCAGGTTTTAGCTCAAGCAGTTGAGGTCCTGCTACTGACATGGAAGTGCTAGCCTGGGTTCCTAGGTCCCAGCTTCAATCTGGCCTTCCTGTAGCCACTGTGGGAATCTGGGAAGTGAACCAGTAGATGGGAGCTCTCACTCTCTCTCTGTCTCCCAAATAAATAAATTATTTTAAATAAAAACTAGAAAAAGAATAATGAGAGAATTTATCTTATTTTAACAGTCACAAAAACAGCATTTTGATATTGGCACTGGAAACAATGAGAAGACTGAAAGAGCAGACAGGAAAAATGAAATAAATGTAAGTACTTATAATAATTTAATACATGAAAAAATAGTAATACATGATAAATGACATATCCTAATTAGGGAAAATTAAAATGTATTAATGCTAGCTGCTCATCAGGACACAAATAAAGTTTAATCATTTTGTCCCTACTCACAACAAAAATAAATCCAAATAGATTGAAGATTAATGCTACATTAATTAAAAGTATTAAAACAAGAGCAATAATGCTAGCTTTCCTAAGTAAACTATCATAAAGAAAGCCATAAATAAATTATGGATAATTTGAACTATATAAAAATACCACAATTAAAACACCAGCTGGAAAAAATCATTTGCATTATATATGCAAAGTTTGGTATAAATGATATATAAGGAGTTTTTATACTTTTACAACAAACATGTTTCCAAAAATGAAACTAAGAGAATTTTTGTAAAAGAATATGAATAAGCTTAAAACAAATAAAAACTATGCA